AAAAAAAAAGCTCTACAAATGGAATGTGTCAGCTTACAACCTGTTTATGAGGGACCACCTTAAAGCAAAAGGTTTGTGCAGGTTTGGCTTTAATTACCGGTTTGCAATTACAAGAGCAAGGCGGGCATTCAAGTATTGTGGACTGTATGCATTTCTCAATCAGTGTGTCTTTGTTGTACGTTAATTATTATTATTTTTAGATAAATGATCAGAGGGGTTTCTCTTCAGAACTTTATGGGTCTAACAACACATTCTAAAGTACTGACTCCATCTGACACATATTTCGACTTTTTTTCAACAAGTAAATGTTTTGTTGTAGTAATGCCTTGATAGAATAGATAAAACAATGTAACTGACATTGTCATGTTTTCTGTTGTATGTCAGGAGTTATGGCAGGTACACAGGGCAAATGGCAGACATTACCATCTGCCACAAAAGCCCATTACAGTGAGGAGGCAGACAAGCTACAGGCAGGAGGTCAGGAGTTGAAGGAGAACCTGAAGGCCTTAAAAGTCAAATATTATTTAAGACGGCTGAAATCAATGGTGGGAATATATACTGTAAGGTCACAATAGTAAAGTAATGTTTTTGGATTTGATAGTTGGATTTAGATTTGAGATACAGATTTTCTCATGAAAGGATTTCAGTCTTTTTGCCATCTCTTTTCCTATAAGCATTTTTAGGTATTGTCTTTTTTTACATCTAATTTCATTTATTATTTATCTTGTCTATTTCTACATAATTATTTGTTAGGTTATCGAGTTGGAAGGTCGACACAGCATTCCTTGTCCACAACCCCGAGGTTGGGACGGGAAAGGAATTTGTTGAGGGCCAGGATCTGATCGGCAAGTTTTCTGTACACTTTTCTGGTACACATATTAAAATAATAACTTTGGTAACACTTAACCTCAAGCATACAGATGTAGGATATTAATTTGATCACCCTGTTGCAGGAAAACTTTTCTGCAATGCAGGACATTTTTTACTTGTAGTGGTCTAAGGCACTGCAACGCAGTGCTAGCTGTGCCACTAGAGATCCTGGTTGGAATCCAGGCTCTGTCGTAGCCGGCGCGACCGGGAGACCCATGGGGCGGCGCGCAATTGGCCCAGCGTCGTCCAGGGTAGGGGAGGGAATGTCCGGCAGGGATGTAGCTCAGTTGATAGAGCATGGCGTTTGTAACGCCAGGGTTGTGGGTTCGATTTCCACAGGGGGTAGGAAAATAAAATAAAAAATGTATGCATTCACTAACTGTAAGTCGCTCTGGATAAGAGCGTCTGCTAAATGACTAAAATGTAAATGTAAATGATTTGAGGTTTGAAAAGGCTTCTGAAGTTTGTAATTTCCACTTAGAAATTTCAGACTTGATTTTCTCTTGCAATAAATGTATCAAACCCGTACAAAATCTCAATTTATTATAATCCACATATCACATTTGCTGTTACTGCAGGATTATTTTCCTGCTGTAGAAAACTGACTCAAATTAAGATCCTACATCTGTACATCTATAATGCCTTTAAACACACTCATACAGCACTGTGCCTCTTTTATTGTTACATCTAGGCAAACCTGCAGCTTCACAGTCAAAGGGGTTTGACAAGGCTAGGGGGCAAGGAATACACGCCTTATTCAACCAGAAGTATAGTACGTACCATTTAATTTGAAATAACTATTAAAATGTACTGTACATCTGTGATTTAACAATTAAATAACGGTTCCTGCTCTGCTTTTAAGCAAGCTTAAAAAATGTAACCACAAAAATGCACAGGCAGAGTTCTGTATACAAGGGCTAACATAAACATATGTGGTAGCTCTGCCTTGTTGGTTTACATTGTTGATATTGAAGTAAGCGGATTTCTGGATCACTGGTACAAGCTTGGAATAATGTGTACACTTGATATTCCTTCACTAAAGTCTTATTTCTGTTTCTGTTTAGATGAAGCAGGTGGACAGGGCAGAGTTCCATATATGGCTGTGGCATGCCAGGTGGGATAGAGTTAAAAACGCCCGCCCACTATGGCATGGACCAACTATCTTCCATTTTGGAGGCATGCCTTGGCATCAAGTTCACAATAAGTAAGATGCAATGAATGCTCTCTACAATGTTTCAATGCAGAGTTGTAATGTCTTGGTCATTGAGATGAACAACATTGACATGTACAGTACAGGCAGTGACTTGACCCATTACTTTAGACAGTCAGGACATTCCCTTTGAACAGATACCCATTGTGGCCACTGCTCTCACTAAAGGTCAACGGTGGGCTTTACTATATACAGTGGGGAGAACAAGTATTTGATACACTGCCGATTTTGCAGGTTTTCCGACTTACAAAGCATGTAGAGGTCTGTCATTTTTATCATAGGTACACTTCAACTGTGAGAGACGGAATCACATTGTATGATTTTTAAGTAATTAATTTGCATTTTATTGCATGACATAAGTATTTGATCACCTACCAACCAGTAAGAATTCCGGCTCTCACAGACCTGTTCATTTTTCTTTAAGAAGCCCTCCTGTTCTCCACTCATTACCTGTATTAACTGCACCTGTTTGAACTCGTTACCTGTATAAAAGACACCTGTCCACACACGCAATCAAACAGACTCCAACCTCTCCACAATGGCCAAGACCAGAGAGCTGTGTAAGGACATCAGGGATAAAATTGTAGACCTGCACAAGGCTGGGATGGGCTACAGGACAATAGGCAAGCAGCTTGGTGAGAAGGCAACAACTGTTGGCGCAATTATTAGAAAATGGAAGAAGTTCAAGATGACGGTCAATCACCCTCAGTGGGGCTCCATGCAAGATCTCACCTCGTGGGGCATCAATGATCATGAGGAAGGTGAGGGATCAGCCCAGAACTACACGGCAGGACCTGGTCAATGACCTGAAGAGAGCTGGGACCACAGTCTCAAAGAAAACCATTAGTAACACACTACGCCGTCATGGATTAAAATCCTGCAGCGCACGCAAGGTCCCCTTGCTCAAGCCAGCGCATGTCCAGGCCCGTCTGAAGTTTGCCAATGACCATCTGGATGATCCAGAGGAGGAATGGGAGAAGGTCATGTGGTCTGATGAGACAAAAATATAGCTTTTTGGTCTAAACTCCACTCGCCGTGTTTGGAGGAAGAAGAAGGATGAGTACAACCCCAAGAACACCATCCCAACCATGAAGCATGGAGGTGGAAACATCATTCTTTGGGGATGCTTTTCTGCAAAGGGGACAGGACGACTGCACCCTATTGAGGGGAGGATGGATGGGGACATGTATCGCGAGATCTTGGCCAACAACCTCCTTCCCTCAGTAAGAGCATTGAAGATGGGTCGTGGCTGGGTCTTCCAGCATGACAACGACCCGAAACACACAGCCAGGGCAACTAAGGAGTGGCTCCGTAAGAAGCATCTCAAGGTCCTGGAGTGGCCTAGCCAGTCTCCAGATCTGAATCCAATAGAAAATCTTTGGAGGGAGCTGAAAGTCCGAATTACCCAGCGACAGCCCCGAAACCTGATGGATCTGGAGAAGGTCTGTATGGAGGAGTGGGCCAAAATCCCTGCTCTGCAGTGTGTGCAAACCTGGTCAAGACCTACAGGAAATGTATGATCTCTGTAATTGCAAACAAAGGTTTCTGTACCAAATATTAAGTTCTGCTTTTCTGATGTATCAAATACTTATGTCATGCAATAAAATGCAAATTCATTACTTAAAAATCATACAATGTGATTTTCTGGATTTTTGTTTTAGATTCCGTCTCTCACAGTTGAAGTGTACCTATGATAAAAAGTACAGACCTCTACATGCTTTGTAAGTAGGAAAACCTGCAAAATCGGCAGTGTATCAAATACTTGTTCTCCCCACTGTATGGCCATCTACCACTTGTTATTGTTTTTTCTGGGTCAACGTGTCTGCTGATTATGAAAAGATGGAGCACATTTTTTATTTTAGAATATCTGTTTGCAGCTGGGGGTGGTGCTGGGTCTAGAGCTGGAGCTGGGAGTGGAGCTGGGCCTGGAGCTGGGAGTGGAGCTGGGCCTGGAGATGGGAGTGGAGCTGGGCCTGGAGCTGGGAGTGGAGCTGGGCCTGGAGCTGGGAGTGGAGCTGGGAGTGGAGCTGGGCCTGGAGCTGGGAGTGGAGCTGGGCCTGGAGCTGGGAGTGGAGCTGGGCCTGGAGCTGGGAGTGGAGCTGGGCCTGGAGCTTGGAGTGGAGCTGGGCCTGGAGCTGGGAGTGGAGCTGGAGATGGGCCTGGAGCTGGGAGTAGAGCTGGAGCTGGAACAGGGCCTGTAGTTGGTGCTGGGCCTGGGCCTTTAACTGTTGGTTGGGCTGGAGGTTGGGCTGCACCGTGGGGGGGTGCGCAACTCAATATTAGGACGGTTCCGTGTAGCTCAGTTGGTAGAGCATGGCGCTTGCAACGCCAGGGTTGTGGGTTCGATTCCCACGGGGGACCAGTATGAAAATGTATGCACTCACTAATTGTAAGTCGCTCTGGATAAGAGCGTCTGCTAAATTACTAAAATGTAAAAATGAAGGTGTTCCTAATGTTTGGAATACTCAGTGTATAGTTTGTCCCTATAGAACTCACACACACAGACAGACATTAATTCCTCAACCACTTTCATCTTTTGAATCACTGTCCTCCTCTACATCTGTGCTGACCGAGCCATCACCAGCCAACATTGAAAATGCTTGCTGGAGCTTTAATATGTTGTGCATTTTATTTCGGAGCAGCACAGAGGCACCGAGGTGAAAGCTTGTTGGCTCGGCCTCACACTGCCCAAGAGAAGCAAAGGCCATTTTGTAGGTCTGCTTGTATAAGGTGCCTCTCCTCCGCTGCCCTAAGGCACATGTTATGCAGCATCACTGCATGCTGCTTTGCCCGGAGCAGACTGTCCCCCAAGTTGTTGGGCACCTGGGACCAGACAGGATGGTTTTTCTGGGGAACTTGCTGTCTTGGCAGGAATTGAGGTGACTTGTTCCTTCTATTGTAGGCGTTGACCTGCTGTTTTATGTCCGCTTGATTTTTCTGGAGAGACGCACAGCAATGGTTTATCCATCTGAAAAACAATTTTAACAAATGGTAATGAGAATCTTGAAGTTTATTTCCCTCATTAAAATGCAAATCAATTTAGAACATTTTTGACATGCGTTTTTCTGGATTTTTTTGTTGTTATTCTGTCTCTCACTGTTCAAATAAACCTACCATTAAAATGATAGACTGATCATTTCTTTGTCAGAGGGCAAACGTACAAAATCAGCAGGGGATCAAATACTTGTTTCCCTCACTGTAGTTCAAAGCACCTGGGTGAATGAAACTTAGATAACAACAGCAGTGATATGCCAGGGTGTGATGCAGTGTTCAACAACACTGAATTGGCTGCAGTACCTGCATACGTTCTGATCAGGCCACAATAGAAAGAGCACTCCAGGACAAGCATATGGATTGTGGCCAGCAGACAGTGAGTCTTCTTAGTCTGCAGACTTTCCAAAATTGCTGCACAGTGTTGAAGAGACCAGCGTACAATCCGATGTCTCTTCTCCATGGCCTTCAACCTTTCCTCCAGGCTGAAACGTGAACATTTATGTTAAAAGGTTTAAAACCTATATTGACTAGCCCCAATACAGTGGGACAAATATGATGAAGACAACATCCTAAAAAAAGCGATTTACTTTTCAAGCTGAGTAGTCAACTGAGTGTTCCTATCATCAGTGATTGATGGGGACATCATGTCAGACCTAGAAAATATCATACAAATATGTAAGCGAAAATATAACAGTATGAATGCATCTCAACATAAAATTAACCAGTTACGAAGGCAAAATCCATTTGAGTGTGGATTATGCAGCGTGAAGTGTTGGCACACAGGTCAGAAGACTTCATGTAGAATAGATTAAGCAGGGGAGGGGGGAACTCATGTTTCTGGGATATGTAGTGAAAAGGGGCAGGTGACAGCAGGAGGTGGTGATAAGAGTATAAAGTAACAGGGAGTAGCTATGCAGATCCAAGAGATTGTGGGACCAGGACACAGCAGGGTATAGGAAAGTGGCGGTCATGACTGGTAGGGCTAAGCCAGACAGAAAGGGGTGTTTAGAGATGGGATAAAACCTTAGGTCAGATATGTAGCAACTACATACGCGACTCGATGTTGCTCTGCGAGAGTTTCCACGTATCTCCTGCCAGGTAAGGAACAACGTCCTCTTGTCTGTAAGGGTCTCCTTTATCTGACGGGTCCAAACTTCCACGTCCGACTGTGTGCTTCCTACAACATAATCAAGGGCCTAATTAAATCTATTGCAGAACAAAATAAACCACACTGGCAGTTGTGCTGAGTTCTACATGTGCAATGCTCATAAGTTTGTGAAAAATATCTTATTAGAAATGTTACTAAAATATCAAATTGTCAGTGAAACCACTGAAAGGAATTCATCATCAAATCAATCAAATATATTTTATAAAGCACTTTTTACCTCAGCAGTTGTAAAACAGCATCACAAAGTGCTTTACAGATACCCTGCCTAAAATCCCAAAGAGCAAGCAATGCAGAGGCAGAAGCACAATACAAGCGGTTCATGTGCATGCTTGTCAGACTGATGGATAATCAGAACAGGATAGAGCACACAAAACATTCAAATGTTCATAGATGACCAGCAGGGTCAGGTAAAGACCATAATGGCTATAGAAGGTGCAAACATTTCAAGACTCTAGGGTCAGATGGCTTTCAGGTTTAAGGAAGTCAAGGTTTATGGGTGGGGTGGGTTATGGGGGCTAGTACCTTTCTGTTCACATTCCCACCCATGGGCCAGACTACACTCAATCATAGGACTGACAGAAGAGAGAAGTCTTCAGTCTAGACTTGAAGTTGAGACTGAGTCTGATTCTCTCACATCGGCAAACCATTCCATAAAGAGGAGCTCTGTAGGAGAAAGCCTTGACTCCAGCTACTGAAGCCCTGCTTCCAATTCATCTGATTGAATTAGCAGAAAAGGATAATTACATATTAACAAAAATTATGAGCAAAACACATGGAATCTAATCTGGAATGCTGTTTAGCAGCACCATCAACTCCTCCTTTCCTTGGTTTCCTCCTTCAGGACCTGCCGACGGAGTTGTATTGCTGGTGCTATAACATATGAAGGTGAACATACATTTCATAGATTGTTTTAAATACATCTTGTTTTTTTTGTGCAAAATGATATCAACACAATCCTGAACAATGGGTCGTCTCAATACTTAACTGATTTCCAGTTCTACATTTATACCTTGCTTCTCCCTGACCCTGGCTGCGTAGTAGAGGAGGGCATTGGTGAGGGTGTCTACACGATGAGATGGTGTCATCTCTTTTGTGATCTTCCCAAATCTTCTAAGGTAGGACCACAACCTCTCCATCTGTTCTCTGTCAGTAAGCCCGCTACCAGTCACATACCTGGTACCGTCAGTTACCTGAAATGTAAAGAACAATCAGAAACCATAATGAGCATTACAATGGGTGATGATGATTAATTAAGGGACTAGGACAAATTACATCTAGCTGTTTCTTAATATTGTTAGGGCAACTGTGCAACTACAAAGAATTGGTGTTTAACAGAATAAATGATAAAGAAAAAAATGTATTCATTATCTGACAGTCAGCATTATAGGCAAAGGCATGAAAGGCTGGCACTGCAAATGTGTCCACCATTAGATCAGGAATGTTTTCTAAATGTCAAAATAATTTAGTGTAGGATCAGTTATTATGTGCATTTTTGTGTAAAATATATTACTTATGATTACAAAGCAGGTATGGAGCAAATTGTTTCAAGCCATTCATAAAACCGTATTAAGCGATTCATGAATCTCTTACTACAGGATGGTGGTTAAATATTAAATACATTATCTAATGTATTATAACAGCTAACATAGATTGATCTATCAATTTTACCTGTAAATGACGCTTCAGCTGGCATGCAATGTCATAGTGAAGAAACGTTGTGATGTTTGGTCCCTGCATTGCTTTCAGGTCCCCCATCAGGAACACAGCATTTGCAAGCATGAAATGACAGTTCAACAACAGTCATCGTAGCCAATGTTATACACTACCGTTCAAAAGTTTGGGGTCACTTAGAAATGTCCTTGTTTTCGTAAGAAAAGCAATTTTTTTGTCCATTAAAATAACATCAAATTGATCAGAAATACAGTGTAGACATTGTTAATTTTGTAAATGGCTATTGTAGCTGGAAACGGCTGATTTTTAATGGAATATCTACATAGGCGTACAGAGGCCCATTATCAGCAACCATCAGTCCTGTGTTCCAATGGCATGTTGTGTTTGCTAATCCAAGTTTATCATTTTAAAAGGCTAATTAGAAAACCCTTTTGCAATTATGTTAGCACAGCTGAAAACTGTTGTGCTGATTTAAAGAAGCAATAAAACTGGCCTTCTTGAGACTAGTTGAGTATCTGGAGCATCAGCAATTGTGGGTTCGATTACAGGATCAAAATGGCCAGAAACAAATAACTTTCTTCTGATACTCGTCAGTCTATTCTTGTTCTGAGAAATGAAGGTTATTCCATGCGAGAAATTGCCAAGAAACTGAAGATCTCGTACAACGCTGTGTACTACTCCCTTCACAGAACAGCGCAAACTGTCTCTAACCAGAATAGAAAGAGGAGTGGGAGGCCCCGGTGCACAACTGAGCAAGAGGACAAATACATTAGAGTGTCTAGTTTGAGAAACAGACCCCTCACATGTCCTCAACTGGCAGCTTCATTAAATAGAACCTGCAAAACACCAGTCTCAACGTCAACAGTGAAGAGGCGACTCCGGGATGCTGACCTAGGCAGAGTTGCAAAGAAAAAGTCCAGTGTCTGTGTTCTTTTGCCCATCTTAATCTTTTCTTTTTATTGGCCAGTCTAAGATATGGCTTTTTCTTTGCAACTCTGCCTAGAAGGTCAGCATCCCGGAGTCGCCTCTTCACTGTTGACGTTGAGACTGGTGTTTTGCGGGTACTATTTAATGAAGCTGCCAGTTGAGGACCTGTGAGGCGTCTGTTTCTCAAACTAGACACTCTAATGTATTTGTCCTCTTGCTCAGTTGTGCACCGGGGAGTGGGACTCCTGTTTCTATTCTGGTTAGAGACAGTTTGCGCTGTTCTGTGAAGGGAGTAGTACACAGCGTTGTACGAGATCTTCAGTTTCTTGGCAATTTCTCGCATGGAATAGCCTTCATTTCTCAGAACAAGAATAGACTGATGAGTTTCAGAAGAAAGTTATTTGTTTCTGGCAATTTTGAGCCTGTAATCGAACCCACAATTGCTGTTGCTCCAGATACTCAACTAGTCTCAAGAAGGCCAACAGTTTTCAGCTGTGCTAACATAATTGCAAAAGGGTTTTCTAATAATCAATTAGCCTTTTAAAATGATAAACTTGGATTAGCAAACACAATGTGCCATTGAAACACAGGACTGATGGTTGCTGATAATGGGCCTATGTAGATATTCCATTTACAATCAGCTGTTTCCAGCTACAATAGCCATTTACAACATTAACAATGTCTACACTGTATTTCTGATCCATTTGATGTTATTTTAATGGACAAAAAATATGCTTTTCTTTCGAAAACAAGGACATTTCTAAGTGACCCCAAACTTTTGAACGGTAGTGTATATAACTAAAATACATCAGCTACATATCTGAAGCATCCATCCATCCTTCCATCCATCCATCCGTCCACATGCATGCATCCATCGACATACTTCTCTCCTCTCTTCAGGTTCAGGAACTTCAGCGGATGCTCGTGCCTGCACGCCATCCCAAACACACCAGTTATGTCCAGTTTCTGGGTTTTGGGTTTGGATCGCAGCGCATCCCCGGCTTGAAATCCCAGGCACCCCTGTAAAATGAAGTGAAAAAAGTCACATTCACTAAGCAGTTAATGTTTCATCCAATCTGTTCAACTTAAAAAAAAAAAAAAAATGGACAGAATAGTCCATTGGTAGAGTCGCATCACCAAGGATAAATGGCTTCTCCTGATTTCAATCAAACCTTTAAACTTCTCCAACATTAGCCCAGCTGTTGGTAATACACACAAACACACATCACACAAGTCACACAGAAGAGGACTAGTGAAACTAACTGATTGTGAGATACATCCCATTCTTCAAAATCCAGTATACCTCAGTCTGATGCTCCTCCTACAAAGCAGTCAACTTTGTCTTGTTCACAAAAGAACCACCCAGCAGGTTTGGGACCCTCAATGCTGGTCCCAGACAATCTTTTTATGGGAAGCCCAAATAGGGCATCAGCTGCAATAATTTGATGACCGTTTTCCTTTAAAATAATAATGCAAATAATTAATTATACAAAATGATTAAGGATACAGGGAATGGACATTTGCAAGGGTATTACTTAAACCCTTGTGCTCCTTGGAAAACATAGGTCTGTCACGTACGTTGAAGGACGGGTCAGACCAAGGCGCAGCGTGAAATGCATACATGTTTATTTCAACGATAAACACACGAACAAAACAACGTAACGTGAAGTCCTCATGCTAAACACAATACAAGCCTCTACACGGAACAAGATCCCACAACAACTGATTGCCAACAGGCTACTTAAGTATGATCCCCAATCAGAGACAACGAGCGACAGGTGCCTCTGATTGGGAATCACACCCGGCCAAACATAGAAACACAACCTAGAATGAGAACATAGAAATAACAACATAGAACTCCACACCCTGACTCAACATACTAGAGTCCCATAAGTCAGGGCGTGACAAGGTCATTTAAGCTGTAGTTTCTTTGTGAATGTATCTGTAATCGGTAGTATCCACTAAGCAGATGATTGGTCCACCTAGCTTTACCAGAGCCCCGTTATCCAGCATGTTGTGGATCCAGACATGCCTTCATGGCAACCGTAGCGGCCTTGGTAGCAAAGCCACCCACAAAACTTTGCCCTGTCTGGCAATCCCATACTTTACCTGTTTCCGCCTCCCACGACTTGGGTTTGGTTTTTGAGAGGCTTGCAATGGTATTGCCGCATAACATTACTACTGTTTGGCAAGGCAATGATAGAATATATATAAGAAAGACAACTGAGGTTGGATATATTTCCCCTTATAAATTATGAACAACACTGAATGCAAATAAGAATCCTAGCTTACTGAGACTTTATAGTTGTTCCTTAATTGTTATCATTGACATACCTGTGGACAGAGAGGACACTTTGTTCTGTCCGAGGTCAGTGGCGCCAACTTCCTGACAGTCTCTCGTTCAAACTGCCAGTGTTTGAACTCCTCAAATGACTCATTTGTGAGCTTCCGGTAGAGCTTAACTGTCTGTTGATAGAAACAAACAAACAAAAAATAATCCTCATAGTAAAAAACACTTACATGTATGGTTTGATTTCTAATTTAAAATACAATAACTACCTTCCAGGATGCATTGGATTTATGGAAAGGTAATCCCCCTCAAAGACACCCCACACTCCAGCTGCAGGGCTGCAATCTGGTGCAGGAGGTCCACTGAAATTGCTGTTTGCGGCAGATGGGGGGTGGCAGGCCAGAGTCTGTAGCGGATCAGGGTGACAGGTTCCAGCTCACAGCTGCAAAACTGCAGCCAGACGTCATGAGCTCGTCCTGAAATGAGGACATTCCGTTTCTTAGATTGCATTGCTAAACATTACATCTGATGTTGGTGAGATGCATGTCTCTTAAGAACTTTCAAAATGACACCATATTTTCATCATAACAACAGAGTGAACAGGGTTCTGGTAAACTAGATCAAATGAAATCAAAGTCAAAGTTGTCATTTGCGCAGGGATACAGCATAGTGTGCACAATACAATGAAATAAGTAGATAACTACAGTATATTAAGTACAGTACAGTAGTTGCCATAGCAACAAAGAGTCAGTTCAGTTTTCATCAACAGTCTTATGGCTTAGAGAGAGAAACCGTCTCTGAGCATGGTGCTGCTACAATTGATGCTCTGATACAGTTTGCAAGATGGTAAAAGAGCCAGATGTCTTAGTTTCCAATTTTTATATAAGGCCTACCTCTAACGTCAACAACTATCAGAAGGCGGTTGTACTGGCTGTGACAGTCATGGTCATCTTGTCTCCTCCACTCCCATCGTAGGCCCACCGGGACACATGGGATGAACTGCCCTAACTAAGACAGACAGACAGACACAAAGTTGTTGTAGAACAGACTACAGTAGCTGCAGATTTGAAACTACACTATCAGGGGGATATTTCATTGCACAAGTGGTTAGAAAACTCCAAATCAACTCTGTGCTTGGCACGACAGATTTAGCCACATTTACCTTACTGCTGCAGGGAACTGTAACTTTTATAGAAACTGAACTGTATGTACATTATCAACATTTTTGACTGGGAAGCAAAAAAATGTAGCCAGAAGTTGACAGGTTTGTTGACATAAGATAAAATACATTACCTTTCATAACTCCAACTGGTGGACAATGTTGGGAGTGCTGTGTGTTCTCACAGCACAGGTGGCACAGAAATATTTATCTGAGCCACAATCCCCACAGCACCATAGCTCAGCCTCCTCCAAAACTCTACACACACTGCAGAAGACGTTGGGTGGATGACATTCCAGCTCCACTGCAGGCATGTGGAGTAGCTCCCTCAACCCCTTCCAGGCCTCAACATCAACTGCCTTCCTTTTTTTTTAACTGGTAGAGGAGGTGCATCACTGCAGCTGGGCCCAACTTCTGCTGCAGAGGGAACCGGCTCTGTTCTCCCAGTACTCCCTACAGAGTAGTGACAATTGTTACTGAGTGGACTATCCTGGTTAAATGAAGTTGAACAGAACTTAACATAGAAACTTTCTCACCAATCCAAGTTGATGGCAGGATGGCATCTGTAAAGAAAAGCAAGACAATGACAACTAAGGTTGATTTATTCTAAATTAAGATATAATATATTTTACATTTAAATGATCTGATACATAGGACACATAATTATCTACTGTATCATAATGCTTGACTAGTGGAGTTACTTTGCTTTCACTAAATTATTTTATTATAGGGAATCTAAAGACAGTTATGGGTAGGAAGTTGTGCTTCGCATGGACATTAAGTAGTCTGAAATGCCTCCAGACAGGTGATGACACATCTTTGGGCTTCAACAAGCATGGGACAGGAATATTTTGGGCATCTTGGCTAATGGATGATTATTGTTGGAATTGTTCTAATGTACAATCTAATACTTGCTTAGTCCAGTGGTTCTCAACCTTTGTTGGTCATTGTAGGCCCAATCACATCTTGCTCTGCCCATAGTGCCTCCAAAGTACCCCCATATATGCATTTTAAATAAAATATGTAGGCATATCATATAAAATGAGTCTTTCTATGTACCCACTTTGGATATTGGTTCCTGGTTATATGAATGGTGTAAGCATTGGCTAGAGAGTTTAAATCCATGCGAGAAAGTGTACTATTGCACACTTCGGGAATAATATTGATATTTAAGACAGAGACAGGACACGCAGCCTAGCTGTCACGATCGTCGGATATAGAGGACCAAGGCGCAGCATGGAAGGTGAACATACTTATTTATTAAATGATACACGAACAAATCGATACGTGCCGTCCACAGGTACAAACCAACACGGAACAAGATCCCACAAACACTGTGGGAAAACCACCTGACTAAATATGGTTCCCAATCAGAGACAACCAGCAACAGCTGATACTCGTTGCCTCTGATTGAGAACCACTCTGGCCAACATAGATATACAAAAACTAGACTAGACACAATGAGCACAAAACATAAACTCTACACATCCTGGCTCAACTTAAAAGAGTCCCTAGAGCCAGGGCGTGACACTAGCACTGAAAACAAGAAATGACACCATGCCATGGTTCCTGGGAAATTTAAGCCGAAAAGACTGCTAATGCAAAATTGCAAATCCTTTTAAATGGATTATATATTCAAATCGAATTGCACTCAAGACATGTTCTTCCCTACTATGGGTCATATTAGCGGGCTATCCCGGGGTAAAAACACTTCAAAATACTTCAAATCCATTATATTAGCTTTTTAAATCACAGTTTAAAAAATAATATGATTAGGTACCTTTGATGAAGGGAAAGGACGTCAGAAGATATTCTAGTTTTAGTTACAGCACAATAAAAATGGTCATTACCACCACCAACGCATAAGGGTTGTAATAACAGCCGTGGTTGATGCTTTTTGCCTACTCGGGAATTACGATATGAAACGTTGACTTGAACCTTCTGACCAACTAGTGGGTCAGGCGGCCCCTCACTGTCTGATTTCTGATGATTGTTCTCGATTACATTGACTGATTGGTTTTGTATCGGGTGGTTATTAAGGTAGGACTGGGTGATATGGCCAAAATATGATATCACAATATTTTTCTCATGTACGGCGGTATTTAACTGTATTTTATGTTTCTGAATAATAAAAGTTATAAATATGTTTTATGAGTAGTGCATGGCCCTAGCATGACAACAAATACATTATAAGTGGTTTTAATTGGCTTTCTCCATTCTGATATATATCGCCCAGCCCTAAATTAAAGCTAAGGTTAGGGTTTGAACCGGGATGTGAACATGATGTTAGGGTTAGGGTTAGGCTTGAACCGGGATGTGGACATGAAGCTAGGGTTAGGGTTGTGGGCAAGGCAAGGGTTAGGGTTGAACTGGGAGCTGGACATGAAGCCTGCACTGCATATGGCTATATCGGCTAATACAGGACTACTAAAGGCCCTTTTTCTGCAACATATTTTTTTTTTTCAAAAGTACATTGTTTTTAAAATATTTGGTTATTCTGATTTTTCAGGGGGTGATGCAGCACCCTCAGCACCCCTACTTCCCAAGGCTATGTGCTTAAGGATGGGATTAGGGTTGAACCGGGATTTGGATATGAAGCTAGGGTAAGGGATAGGTTTGTGGTTAAGGCTAGGATAGTCACACTGAAAAGTTATACATTTTGTAGGGATGAATTGTGTAAGGATGAATTCGAGTTATACATTAATTTCCTATTTTTCTGCTCTTATGAAATGTTACAACATTTGTTGTTTAGCACTAGCGATGGGAAGTTCGGCTCTTTTTAATGACTCTGATCTTTTCGACTCGTTCAGTCAAAAGAACAAATCTTTCGACTCATTTCGTTCATTTGAGTCAGGAATGCCCAGAGCACGCAGGACCCCCTACCAGCGAACTATGAAAATGTATGCACCCACTAACTGTAAATCGCTCTGGATAAGAGCGCCTGCTAAATGACTAAAATGTAAAATGTAAAACTCGAAAGAATCATGATTCTACGAGCCTCTCGTTCACATGTTGTTCACCATAGGGGGCTTATTGGAGCTGTCATTTGTGACTGAGACCTGTAAACGTGTGCTTTAAACAATGTACATTTGTTGATTGCAGGTACACAAATAATATTTTTTCTTGATACATTTTAAACGAGCTGTGGCCGCTACTGGACTAGATTGTGAACGACTCTTGGCGGAATGCATTGCTTGACTGCCGTGAGGGTGATAAGCACAGTCGCTCGCGAACTGCAGCCCCCCAAACGATTCGTTCTCGAGTTCGAGTTTGTTGAGCAGAGGCTGTGTATGTTTTGGTTCTACAAAGCTGTGTCCATCATAACGTTCAATAATAATTTAATTGCAGTCATTCTTGCACCATGTGTGACCAATTATCAGTTCTAAACATGTATTTTTCTTCTCTAGGCTCATAATAATTTTCCTGTGGCATATGAAAGGCCATTGGTCATAAGCGTTGGTGTTCGGACCCAACCTGGTCTCAGAATATGTAAATCCAAGACACCCCATTTGGTATGATCTGTTACGTTTCGTATGGTATGCATTAATTTGTGGATGTCCATCACCCATTTGGTATGATTCCTGGAGGCATGCAGAGGCCAAATCAAGCTCCTTACCGCATTGCCATGCGCCTCTCAAATGTTGTAACAATGCAGAGGACTCCATATAGCTCCGCATTGACATGATTGGTTCACGGTAGTTGGGGGCGGGAGGTCCAGTATAAGAGCCAACTTATGCTTGATCCGAAAATGTGGTCGGGGGTGCTGTAAGGATGGTGTGACGCAATAACGAAGCCTCCAGAGGCACACCAAGGTCAAATTGAGCTCCATACCATATAGCTGTGCGCCTCTCAAATGTTGTAACAATGTGGAGGGCTATAGCTCTGCATTGACATGATTGGTTGACAGTAGGTGAGGGCGGCAGGTCCTGTATAAACACAAACTCACTTCCTTGACAACTTCCTTCACAAGAGCTCTGTGCTGCTCAGCGAAGTGCAAGAAGCATGAATGCCCTGACTTCTACAGAGGCAGTATCACCCTAAATGCTGCAAGCCCATTGCATATATCAGATTGACCATGTAACGCCTTTCAACACAAACTCACTTAATTGACTACTTCCTCCACAATAGCTCTGCTCTGATAGGCTAAGCGCAATAAGTATTAAAGCCCTGACGCCTGCGGTGGCTGCATCGCAGTAAATTTTGTACGGCCACTTCAGACGTCGGATTGGACATGCAGACCCCTAAACAAATTTGGAGCTGCACAGCGATGCGGTACAGAGCTCAATTTGGCCTCTGCATGCCTCTGGAGGCTCCGCTATTGCGTCACACCCTCCATATGGAGTCTACGAACACATTTATAGATCAAGCATAAATTGGCTCTTAATCCTGCTGTAGGACTCATTGCGACCAGCACTAGCAGGTCAACGTACGACTAAAATGAACGACTCACTCAGAAAAATGAATCATGACTCTCGAGTCAGTAAAAAGAATCGTTCAAAAAGAACGAATCGTTTGCGAACTGCACATCACTACACAGCACTCTGAGATTGATTGCCCACCAGAGCGCACTCACGGCATCAAAGGTAGGAGATGCAAGCCCACTGGAACCAATTTAGGTTACTGGATGCTTACTGGTGATATTACTGCTTCCACTGTACTTTATCAGGCGTGAATTAAAGTCGAGGCTAACCTTACACATGTGTAATATTTTTTGGAGATAAAGTAACCGTTTGATGGAGTTTATGGAAGATGCAATCGTTTGTTCTCCTCGCTTCTCTGTGTGGATGCGTCCTATGTTCAGGTACATATCTACTGTTTCTCTTTTGTAAATGTCAGTGTCTGTTTATTTATATTATGTATAACATTTGCAATCCCGAGTATTGATTAATTTCTCAATTATTGCCTCGGTGCCCTAAAATCTATAGACTATATTTTATGCATTATATTAGAATAGAGCCTTTACGCGTGGGAAGGCTTCTCACAAATATCTTATTTTATTTTCCTTTCTCAACTAAAATGTAGGCTACATATGTATGCAATCGTTTTACATTTAGGCTAACCGTGCACAATTACGAACATTGACAGAAGTGTATGATTTATTTAACTTGTGTTACCTTTGAAGTCTGAGCCTACCTGTCATAAACACAAAGTCATAAAACCAGTCTGTGTCATTCAGACAGACGCATGAATAAGTTCTGCTCCAACAGCATAAGCCTATAGTTAGCCATTTTTCAAACAAAGAGATGAACTTGTCTAATGCAATAATAATACTGTATGTGTGGCCACACTGGATTATTCTTTATAGTAGATGACCCTACAGACAGACAGACACATTCATAAAGTACCATGAATATAGGATGCAATCACACAGAAAAATACCAGTACAATTTCAAAATAGTGGAGCTGTAGAGAGATATGTGTTTTACAAAGTGCTGCTATAATGTTGTTCATGCGTTGCAAGCAATACCCATCAGATCATGCAGGCATAACAGATTAAAATAAAATAAAATACAATGTTATTTGTCACATGCGCCAGATACAACAGGTGTAGACCTTACAGTGAAATGCTTACTTACAAACCCTTAAACAACTATGCAATTTTAAGAAAGAATACCCCCCAAAAAATAACATTAATAAAAAAAAATTACAAAAATAAAAGTAACAAATAATTAAAGAGCAGCAGTAAAATAACAATAGCGAGGCTATATACAGGGGGTACCGGTACCGAGTCAATGTGTGGGGGCACCGGTTAGTCGAGGTAATTGAGGTAATAGGTACAAATAGGTAGAGTAATTAAAGTGACTATGTATAGATAATAAACAGAGAGTAGCAGCAGCGTAAAGGCAAATAGTCTGGGTAGCCATTTCATTAGATGTTCAGGAGTCTTATGGCTTGGGGATAGAAGCTGTTTAGAAGCCTCTTGGACCTAGACTTGCCGCTCCGGTACCGCTTGCCGTGCGGTAGCAGAGAGAACAGTCTATGACTACGGTGGCTGGAGTCTTTGACAATTTTTAGGGCCTTCCTCTGACACCGCCTGGTATAGAGGTCCTGGATAGCAGGAAGCTTGGCCCCAGTGATGTACTGGGCCTGTACGCACTACCCTCTGTAGTGCCTTGCGGTCGGAGGCTGAGCAGTTGCCATACCAGGCAGTGATGCAACCAGTCAGGATGCTCTCGATGGTGCAGCTGTAGAACCTTTTGAGGATCTGAGGACCCATGCCAAATATTTTCAGTCTCCTGAGGGGGAATAGGTTTTGTCGTGCCCTCTTCACGACTGTCTTGGTGTGCTTGGACCATGTTAGTTTGTTGGTGATTTGGACACCAAGGAACTTGAAGCTCTAAACCTGCTCCACTACAGCCCAGTCGATGAGAATGGGGGCGTGCTCAGTCCTCTTATTTTTCCTGTAGTCCACAATCATCTCCTTTTTCTTGATCACGTTGAGGGAGAGGTTGTTGTCCTGGCACCACACGGCCAGGTCTCTAACCTCCTCCCTATAGGCTGTCTTGTCGTTGTCGGTGATCAGGCCTACCACTGTTGTGCCATCAGCAAACTTAATGATGGTGTTGGAGTCGTGCCTGGCCATGCAGTCATGAGTGAACAGGGAGTATAGGAGGGGACTGAGCACGCACCCCTGAGGAGCCCCCGTGTTGAGGATCAGCGTGGCGGATGTGTTGTTACCTACCCTTACCACCTGTGTGCGGCCCGTCAGGAAGTCCAGGATCCAGTTGCAGAGGGAGGTGTTTAGTCCCAGGGTCATTAGCTTAGTGATGAGCTTTGAGGGCACTATGGTGTTGAACGCTGAGCTATAGTCAATGAATAGCATTCTCACATAGGTGTTACTTTTGTCCAGGTGTGAAAGGGCAGTGTGGAGCGCAATAGAGATTGCATCATCTGTGGATCTGTTGGGGCGGTAAGCAAATTGGAGTGGGTCTAGGGTTTCTGGGATGATGGTGTTTATGTGAGCCATGACTACCGTTTCAAAGCACTTCATGGCTACAGACGTGAGTGATACGGGTTGGTAGTCATTTAGGCAGGTTACCATAGTGTTCTTGGGCACAGGGACTATGGTGGTCTGCTTGAAACATGTTGGTATTACAGACTCAGACAGGGAGAGGTTGAAAATGTCAGTAAAGACACTTGCCAGTTGGTCAGCGCATGCTCAGAGTACACATCCTGGTAATCCGTCTGGCCGTGCGGCCTTGTGAATGTTGACCTGTTTAAAGGTCTTACTCACATCGGCTACGGAGAGCGTGATCACACAGTCGTCCGGAACAGCTGATGCTCTCATGCATGTTTCAGTGTTACTTGCCTCGAAGCGAGCATACACTACCGGTCAAAAGTTTTAGAACACCTACTCATTCAAGAGTTTTCTTTATTTTTACTATTTTCTACATTGTAGAATAATAGTGAAGACATCAAAACTATGAAATAACACATATGGAATCATGTAGGAACCAAAAAAGTGTTAAACAAATCAAAATATATTTTATATTTGAGATTCTTCAAAGTAGCCACCCTTTGCCTTGATGACAGCTTTGTACACTCTTGCCATTCTCTCAGCCAGCTTCATGAGGTAGTCACCTGGAATGCATTACAATTAACAGGTGTGCCTTCTTAAAAGATAATTTGTGGAATTTATTTCCTTCTTAATGCGTTCGAGACAATCAGTTGTGTTGTGACATATATATATACAGAAGATTGCCGTATTTGGTAAAAGAGCAAGTCCATATTATGGCAAGAACAGTTCAAATAAGCAAAGAGAAACAACAGTCCATCATTACTTTAAGACATGAAGGTCAGTCAATATAGAACATTTCAAGAACTTTTAAAGTTTCTTCAAGTGCAGTCGCAAAAACCATCACGCGCTATGATGAAACTGGCTCTCATGAGGACCTCCACAGGAATGGACGACCCAGAGTTACCTCTGCTGCAGAGGATAAGTTCATTAGAGTTACCAGCCTCAGAAATTGCAGCCCAAATAAATGCTTCACAGAGTTCAAGTAACAGACACATTTCAACATCAACTGTTCAGAGGAGCCTGTTTGAATCAGACCTTCATGGTCGAATTGCTGCAAAGAAACCACTACTAAAGGACACCAATAATAAGAAGAGACTTGCTTGGTCCAAGAAACACGAGCAATTGACATTAGATCGGTGGAAATGTGTTCTTTGGTCTGGAGTCCAAATTTGAGTTTTTGGTTCCAACCGCTGTGTCTTTGTGAGACGCGGTGTGGGTGGACGGATGATCTCCGCATGTGTATTTCCCACCGTAAAGCATGGAGGAGGAGGTGTTATGGTGTGGGGGTGCTTTGCTGGTGACACTGTCTGTGATTTATTTAGACCAGCATGGCTACCACAGCATTCTGCAGCGATACGCCTTCCCATCTGGTTTGGGCTTAGTGCGACTATCATTTGTTTTTCAACAGGACAATGACCCAACACATCTCCAGGCTGTGTAAGGGCAATTTTACCAAGAAGGAGAGTGATGGAGTGCTGCATCAGATGACCTGGCATCCACAATCCCCGACCTCAACCCAATTGAGATGGTTTGGGATGAGTCGGACCGCAGAGTGAAGGAAAAGCAGCCAACAAGTGCTCAGCATATGTGGGAACTCCTTCAAGACTGTTGGAAAAGCATTCCAGGTGAAGCTGGTTGAGAGATTGCCAAGAGTGTGCAAAGCTGATATCAAGGTAAAGAGTGGCTATTTGCAGAATCTCAAATATAAAATATATTTTGATTTGTTTAACACTTTTTTGGTTACTACATGATTCCATATGTTTTATTTCATAGTTGACTATTCAACAATATAGAAAATAGTAAAAAATAAAGAAAAACCCTTGAATGAGTAGGTGTTCTAAAACATTTTTACCGGTAGTGTAGAAGTCATTTAGCTCGTCTGGTAGGCTTGTGTCACTGGGCAGCTCACGGCTGCCTCTACTCTTAAACCTTTGGATGCTGTCTACCATAGCGCCATTCGTTTTACCACTGGTGACAGTTTTAATACTCACCACTGCATCCTGTATCAAAAGGTTGGCTGGTCCTCATTAAAGTCCCGTAGATCAACTCATTACTCCCTTTTTGTTTACAAAGCCCTACTACACCAGCTTCCAATTTACCTAACTTCGTTGTTAAAGTATAAAAAAAACATGATACCAAACCCGCTCCCAGGGTTGGTTAACTCTTGAGGTTCCTCGGGTTTCCACCGAATTACGTAATTTTTGTTTTGTATTAATCCACCTCATTTCTGGTACCAACTGCAAAATACACTGCAATTGGACGCTCTGATGCCATTTGGGCAATTTAAAATATTGATTGGGGAACTATTTGCTGAGGAATGTGGCTGTTTTTCTTGATTGTTTGTTGTGCTGTATTTTAGTTAGTTAGTTTTTCTATTTCATTTTGTCTATGAATTGTACGTGTAGGGCTCCCTTGCGAAAGAGACCCTGGTCTCATTGGTGACACCCTGTTTAAATAAATGTAAAATAAAATAAATAAACATCAATCCAGCCCAGATAGGATGCACAACAGCTCAATTCCAAACATCTCTGTTGAACACTAGCTGGGTGACTACTGATTACCAAGGATTCTTCATACTAATTATTCTCTGTATAGTGGCAGTGATTGGATAGCTTTCAAACTTGAAGGTGCATGTGATGATCTCCCTCTTTTGCTGAGACAGTGGTCATAATAACGAGTAACAGTGTAGTTTAAAAAGCAGTGGCTATAGCATTTTTTGAGGGTTTAAACCTATGTGCTGTTGAACTGACCATGCTAATTGAAAAGGGCACTGGCCAATGGTCATGTGTTTGTATTAGAGAAGGAATAGAGGCATCAACAGAAGGAAATGGCTCCCTCTTGTGGATATTCTGCACTGCATTAATCTCCATGGACGTTGCTTGGAAACACATGAATGGGCTTCCATGTTGTATTGCACCATAACTGGATGTTTCCTTCCATGTATTTTAAGCATGTGTGTGTGTCAGTCTGGCCATTTCAGATGCAGTGTTACCACTGTGAAGAGACTCTGTTGGACAATGACTGTTCAGCTCCAAAGTTCATTGTCAACTGCACAGCAAACGTCCAGAATGCCTGTCAGAAGGAGGTGATTGTGGGTGAAAATGGTGAGCCTGGTTGACTTTTTTTGCTGTCAAGTCTGAATCCATTCTAGTAGGGTTAATAGTAAAAAACTTGTTTTACAATATCAAACAAAATTGCACCCTTTGACATGTGTAACCTTTGGCCAAGGCTTTGATGTCTCACAGTGTTCCCTCCCTCCAGGTGTGTCCTACAGGAAGGCCTGTGCCTCTTTCTCCACCTGTCTGATCGTGTCAGCAGGGTATCAGTCCTTCTGCGTCCCGGGTCGGGTGGGCTCTGTCTGCATCAGCTGCTGTAACACCCCCCTCTGCAACGGACCCCGCCCCCCCAGGATTTCCCTGGCCCCCACCCATCCTCCCGCCAGACCCACTACCCTCCTCATCATCACTGTTGCTGTGGGAACACTGCCCTGATGTGGACACTGGTATTGGCTGGATTGGACTGAAGGTTCTCAGGTGTGGTGCCTGGTGTTGGAGCCAACAGACACTGTCCTGAGAGATTACTGAAAAACTAGGTCTACTGTGGACAGAGATTCTACAATCTACTAACAGGGCTGACCGACACATACGGACCCATTGACCAAAAAGAGTGACAAACACATGAGAAATTTAGGCAGTACATTTGAATTCTGAGCCTAAAGTTTATTTTAAAAAATATATTTGTCATCCACAGTACATTAACAAAGTTTGTGTTCTAATAGGGAGGTTACATTTTAATATCATTGTCTCAGACTGCGCCTAATCAAAGAACTAGTGCTCAGTCCCAGAGATGACTGAGCAGTGTGTAGTGCTGAATGTACCCTCTGTTTTACGGATAGGATGACACACACTGGTGTACTTATGTTGCAATAAGTGATCATATGGTGCTTTCAAGACAACTCAAATTTGGAACTGCTCAGTTAAAATGTCCACCGCAGATGCGGAAGGCTGACATAGGCTGATGTGGTGGATTGAGACGCAGCCCATGCAAAAACAAACATCTAGCTTAAATTGACAGATTTTGATGGGGATTTTTTAATCATGTTAATTAGATTGGTGTATCAATAGACTTAAGGATTAAAATCCCCGTAGGGATGTGCGTGATACTTTGCAACCCATTATAACAACTTAATGAACATAACATAAATTACAAGTCCCATTGACTTAATCAAACTTTATTTTAACAAATTTAAATTCTTACAACAGCAATTCCTGGAAAACTGTATAAGCAGTTATTTCTTTTTTGAAACAGTCAAATCCTCAGTTGAGAAGCAATAGGTGATAGTTTGGTAAACCTGTATTATTGGCACTTCTAAGAAAATAAAGCCTTGAGGTACACCGCAGTGAGGATCTTTGACTGCCAGATAGATGATCTGTTCAATTTCATTCAACCAAGGTTGAAAACCTAAGGAATATGACCTATATCAGAATGGAAACAGTACATTTCCCTGCATCTTGAATCCCTCAACATCAAGGAAGAGGATGAAACATTTGTAACAGCTCATCCTTTAGCCAAGGACACAGAATGAATGGGTAGAGGAGGACTAGTTCTGACTGGTAACTGGATGCTATGCCATATGCTTCAGTGACTAAATTGAGTGGAATGGTTTGAATTTGGCAGAAATGCCATACCTTCTCAATGAATCCCATAACCCCTGTCACAAGAGATTACTTCTAAATTAAACTGTAAGTGCACCTTGTAAATCAATGTTGTTACTCCTGCACATTGGGCATTCCATGAAGATGAGTGGGATTTTTTTCTTCTTTCATTTCACCTCATTACATAAAATAAAATCCATAGCACACGAAACACAGGTTCTCTACTCTTCATCTGTTTCAAGCACTGAATATTTTTTAGTAGGGGAAAGACAGAACAACCTTGAAAAAAGAAATATCTGGAAAATATATTAGACTTATATGTGGTCCTCTGTAGCTCAGCTGGTAGAGCACGGCGCTTGTAACGCCAAGGTAGTGGGTTCGATCCCCGGGACCACCCATACACAAAAAAATAAAATAAAATAAATGTATGCACACATGACTGTAAGTCGCTTTGGATAAAAGCGTCTGCTAAATGGCATATTATTATTATTATACAATACAAGTCAATCAATAAACATCATTTTCTAAACACCATAGCGGACAACGAGACCAGCAATTGCCATACAACTCCTATAGCAATAATTTTGTTGAGTGAGGTGCTTTCAGTTGTCACGATCGTCTAGAACAGGAGACCAAGGCGCAGCGTTGCGAGTGAACATAGTATATTTATTAAATGCTCACACGAGCAAAACAAATAAACAACGAATCCGTGACGTCTGTGGTACAACACGCACACACACGAACAAAATCCCACAACCCGAAAGAAAAACAGATAGATTAAATATGGCTCCCAATCAGAGACAAACAGCCGACAGCTGACACTCGTTTGCCTCTGATTGGGAGTCACACCGGCAAACATAGAAAATAAACCACCTAGAACACCCACCAGAGAAACCGACAACATAGAATGAACACACCCTGGTTCAACATAATGAGTCCCCGAACCAGGGTGTGACAGTACCCCCCCCTAAAGGCGCGGACTGTGACCGCGCCTAAATACGAGCAAAACAGGGGAGGGCTGGGTGGGCATTCTTCCTCGGCGGCGGCTCCGGCTCCGGGCTTGATCCCCACTTCCTCTCCAACCCCCCAAAGTACTCCTGGTCCTGTCTAGCCCCGCTGGCCGGAGCCGGACTGACGACACGCGCCCCTGGCTTGGTGCGTGGAGCAGGAATGGACCGGAATGGGCTGGCGACGCACACCACTGACTTGGTGCGGAGAGCAGGAACGAGCCGGACAGGGCTGACGAGGCACACCACTGGCTTGGTGTGGACAGCAGGAACGGGCCGATCCGGGCGGCCGAAACGCACCACAGACTTGGTGCGGGGAGCTTGGATGGGCCGGACTGGGCTGGCGACGCGCACCACAGACTCGGTGCGGAGAGCAGGAACGGGCCGTGCCGGACTGACGACGCACACCACTGGCTTGGTGTGGACAGCAGGAACGGGCCGATCCGGGCGGCCGAAACGCACCACAGACTTGGTGCAGGGAGCAGGAATGGGCCGGACCGGGCTGGCGACACGCACCACAGGCTTAGTGCGGGAAGCAGGAACAGGCCGGGCCGGGCTGGCGACGCGCACCACAGACTTGGTGCGGAGAGCAGGAACGGGCCGGACCGGGCTGGCGACGCGCACCACCGGCACGATGCGAGGAACAGGACCAGGCCGGCCCGTACTGGAGACACACACCACTGGCCCTACGCAGAGATCAGGAACGGGCCGGACTGGACACACACCCCAGTACCTCTCGCCGTGCCTCCACACTATCCCTCTCCTCTGTGACCAGTGGCCCCCTTAACCTGGCGGCCTCCTCTTCACACCCGCTGGACCGCTCCATCGCGGCCTCCTGCTGCCCCGTCGTCCACGTCGTGAGCCCCCCCCTAAAAATTTTCTGGGGTTCTCTCCTCCCCGTGGACCAGGCCTCCCTAGCTCTCGTCAGACTCTCGATCCATTGCTTCATCGACCAGCCTCTCTCCTCTTCATTTAGCGTGGCCCAGCCGAAACTCCTACTCCCCTGATCCCAGGTCCTTCCTTTCTCCTCCTCACGCTGCTTGGTCTGGTACAGGTGGGATTTTCTGTCACGATCGTCTAGAACAGGAGACCAAGGCGCAGCGTTGCGAGTGAACATAGTATATTTATTAAATGCTCACACGAGCAAAACAAATAAACAACGAATCCGTGACGTCTGTGGTACAACACGCACACACACGAACAAAATCCCACAACCCGAAAGAAAAACAGATAGATTAAATATGGCTCCCAATCAGAGACAAACAGCCGACAGCTGACACTCGTTTGCCTCTGATTGGGAGTCACACCGGCAAACATAGAAAATAAACCACCTAGAACACCCACCAGAGAAACCGACAACATAGAATGAACACACCCTGGTTCAACATAATGAGTCCCCGAACCAGGGTGTGACATCAGTAGATGAGAATTGGGCCAGGTCTGGATATTTAACATGATTAAAATGCAAACGCTTATCTGCTCTATCATTTGCATCTTATAAAACTCTGAGAACATCCCCTAAATGACACAACCTACAATAGAAAAGGGGGGGGGGGGGGGGTATTTAAGTGGCAGAATTCCCAACTGGACAGATATTATTCACAGAATTATCATCCTCTTTGCAGTAAATGTATCCATTTCCATTATATTTACAGCTGCCAAAGAGGTCCCACAAATGCAAACTGTTATAGTACTTATCAGTAGGTATATATAAACTGGCCTTTTTAAATAATTTGAGGCATTGTTCACATGGAAAAGCAAAAATAATAATATTGTCTCCTCAAAAATGTATACCTCGCAACGTGTAAATAACTATCAAAATAAGTCTCTGTGTTAGTTAATAACTTCACAAAACAACTACACGATCCCTTCAAAAACGGGACTTCTAGACCTTTACATCAAAGCTCAAATACATCAAACCTTATGCCAAAGCCAAATTCCAAATGCAACCAATCGATTCCTAAAAATTAAGACAATATATCAAAGTACAAAATCAAATAATGGTCTTAATAATTAATAATAATCAAGCTGTTAAGGCGAATGCACCAGAAGCACTCCTGATGCGATTCCAGGTCACAGATATTTTATTTGCTGGCTTTCTTCCACTTCATTTACTTCTTCTTCTTGTCCTGCTAAATAAATAACATATTTACAATACAGCTCTACATAAAACAGACATCAATTCTCACCTAACTAACCTTAAACCATTATTAATCTTACAAGATTACTACAAGGTACAATATGCTGGTTAATCATACATATTGTATTTAGGATGCTTTCTGGTCCTGTGTGCATGTTATTAGATGGTTCAAAACATAGCAATGTGTATAAGAGACAGTGGAAGTATAGTCGGTATACTACATAAAAAGCAATGCAATGTGGTTGAGCACCTTGCCAATATTGTACCTTCTCATTCATGGCCAGAATAACCATTCGCTTTTCCTGAAGATGGTCACAAAGTCCAAGAAGAGATCCACAGAGTGCCTTCAATAGGGTGAAGAGAGAAAATAGTTAAATATCTTATAAAACACTTGAAAAGCTCATTGTAACAGAGCCAAGCTATTGACACATTCTACACAATACCAAGTCCATACCACTTGCATTGTATACCTTACTCTACTGTATGTTTTACTGTGTTTGATAAGGAAAGATTGCATGGCCTGACAGACACACCCATGCACATTTCTAAATTCCAGATCACAATGGCAAAAAATACTTTCAACAACTAGTCCCCCACCCTCTTCACCAGGTCCAGAGTGTAGTCTGTGTCTCCCATCTCAGCCTTCTCAATGATGAGTTGAGTGTCAAACAGCACAAATCCACACATGA